AACACAGTGATTTATTTTATGCACTTAAAGCTACGTTGGTAGCAAGCAGGGCATATGATCTTACAGGAGGATTAGACAAATGCATGGGATGGTAACTCTTCTAAAGATTACAAATCAAGCAGGTTATACATCAAGCTTGCACAACTTGTGGCTCTAAAGGTGTTTTTGGACTTCAGTCCCTAGAATTCCTGACCATTGGACAATCTGGTAATGGCTTTTGGGAGATGGAATCCCAAACACATGAAAGGTCACAGGTTCTGTTTGACCCTGCTTGGTGCAATGATGTCTGGTTCAATTGTTTTAAATTCACAACATTACGGATTCCACGTATTGTCGAAAGCTTTCACAGCCGGAATCCCTGCAGTGTTGTGTGGCTGTATGGCCATGTTGTAGCAGCATTTTCTCCTGACATTTTGCCTGCATCTGTGGTCTGCATCTGTGGCTGGTATATTCAGATGCAGGTGAAATGTCAGGAGAACATGGCCATACAGACCGGAAACCAAACAACACCCCAGATTAATAATGACATACAAGCCACAAACAATCATTATTTCTGAAGAAGGCAAATAAGAAAAAAACTACTACTAGTACAGACAGTCTTCATGTTATGATCAAAATAGGTTTTGTGGGTTTGTTCTTAAGTTGAATTTGTTTGTATGTTGTAACAGAAACATTTTAAGTGTAACTCCAGCTATAAACACACACACAAACTTTGAATGGCATAGGGAAGGGTTAACACCCCTGTGGTCTTGGTTTTGCTGTCTATGCCCCAGTTCAGAAGATTTCACATCACCTCTTGTCCCTGTGAGAATTGGATTTTAAAAAATTTGGCTTGTTATGGAAACAAGGATTGGCGAGAAAGCTTCAGTGAAGACACCTTTACTCCATGCTAACTCTTCCAGTAGTGAATTTCCCTATCAAGGGGTAGATTTCTCTAACTTCCTGTAACTTCCTGTAAGTCGTTTGTAAGTCGGATGTTTGTAACTTAGGCACTCCCTTTATATATAAACAGAAGCAGGAATCAGTATGGACTCTGCTCCCTATATAGCACGTGTCATATACAGCTAGGCCATAAAAACAATCTGCTTTCTCTCTCTATTTGGTCAGAAATATTATCACATTTCACCTTTTAATTCTCATATATTGTGTTTTTCATCTTTTACATTTAGCAAGTTACCTGTTCACTATTTTTATGTATATTTTGTATTCCACATACAACAAGAATGAACCACAAAGTCAAACTGGTATTTTTCCATGTAAAAGCTTCCTTCTGTTGAAAAAAAAAGTATTATATCTAATCTACAGGGCAAATGACATGGTCCTTCTTCATAACACTGCTGTTTTGAGAAGTACTGTGAGTCGTTTGTTAGCATTTTCTACTGCTGTCTTATACACATTGGTTCAATATTACTAGGGGAATATGTGATGCACCAGTGGAAGATTGGTAACCTTTCTGGTCCTACTGTAAGAGAGCTAACATTCCAGACAATCAAAGCATTCCTTCCTGTAACACATACACACACACAATAGTGACCACAGCCCAGTACAGATCTATAGATACCCTTAAGGCTAGTAATCTTCTAGTGCTTCCAGCACTCTTAAACTTCATGTTCATTTGTGGCCAATTAAATATCCCTATTTACAGGGAGGAACCATCATTTAGCTAGTGGAGCCAACAGTATAGAATCAATCCTCAGCATCTCTAGTAACAGGAGGTCTTGGGTTTTGTATAAAATGTTTTTTTGTGCAAAACAACCCCTCTAGAGAACCTTTTGTGTAGATGGCTTTGAGCAACAAGGATGAATGATGTACTTCAGAATAAGCCAAGTTCATAAGTAAATAATACTGAATTATTGTTGAGTAAGCATTTGCTCCTTCCAGTAAGTGAAATATTACTAAATAGCAAAGCAATGTTTGAGCTTTTGTGAAAGATTCATTGTGTACAATGTCTAAAATGTATACAATTTCATCCAGAATATTGCTGGACATTTTGTGTCTGTGTTTCTGGGTTGTTGTTTTTAAGTAGTTTGTGTCTTATTGAGAATTAGCTACAGAGAGCCGGAGTGACAGCATGAAAGGGCATTTCATGGAAGCTATGGACAGCCATCAGATGGTCTCTGCTTTCTGTCACTGCCAAACAGGGCCGGTTTTACAGTGCAGCTCATGAGATGAAAGGCTTCCCTCATCTGACTGCTAATTCCTAAACCACCTGTCCCTAGGAATAGTTAATGAGGCCATACAGGCATGGGGAAATGGATGATTATTACAATGGTGATTAACACAAAACTGTGAAAATAAAGTACATATCTGCATCATCAGTGCTCAATACGTAAATGCTTTAAGACTTTCTAATCATTGATTTGCATTGTACCCACAACCTCATCGTGGAAATTGCAATCTTTAGGTACACAGTCAAGCTCGCATTGACAAGGCAAGAATGAAAGAGATTATCTGTAGAAGAACAGTATGTTGCCTGACAGCTTGTTTTTGCATAATGATAACCATCTCTCGGCAAAGAACAATGTTTTCAGTGACATTTACTCTCTTTTCTGTTTGACCCTGTTTGGCACAATGATATTTGCCCCACTTGAACTTTATTAATGCTCCCAAGTAGAAATACCAATCATTTTCAAAGGCATAATGATATTTATGCGTTGGAAGTGTCCATCAAAAGGAAAGTGTTCCCTGCCACCTGCAATAAGCTGTCGTGTCCATATCCCCTGGCACACTAGTGATCAGAGTTTCATGCCAGTCTTTAGTGGCTGCAGAAGGCAGAGCATTATCTAAAGTGGGAATTCCTCCAAGGAACCCATGAATGCAACTCACAGGATATTCTGCATGCCAGACACATTTGAAGCATGTTATCTCTATTGGTTTTCAATCCTTAGAATCATAGAGTCATGGAGTGGCTAGAGACCACAAGGTCCATTTAGTCCAATGTTCTGTTATGCAATCAAATCACTTCTATCAGATAGCCACCCAACCTCTGGAAAAGTCTCCAGAGAAGAAAACTACACTACAGTGCATTTCTGGGCCTAATTTAACACAATGTTAATATCAGTAATTTTATATGTCTATGAAGAAATAAACCTCACTGAATTTGAGAAGTCTGAAGAATATTTGTAAATTCCCTTGTCTTCTGTGGAAAAGGATGTCTCAATGTGTTATTAGAGTTTACTTATCTTTAAGGGTCCTTTGTGTGTGTGCGTGTGCGTAGGTGTGTGCTTTGGGACCATAATGCAAAAATGTTATTCATGCAAAAATAATGTTAGGTGGAATTCATTATCATAGTTACAAGTATGTAACTGATTTCTAACCATGGTCCTTAAATATTCACGATTCTTAGTATCACATACTAATGCAAAATGCTGTTTTTGCATGCAAAAATAATTATATTGGGCACACAATAGAGTCCTTATTCTGCAATCCATGAATAGATAAAATACAAAAAATGTGGAAAGAAATCTTGATACACACATATAGAGACACTCGTAATATCACCGAGCAGGGAGAAAACTTTTGCAATGTTTCACACTTAGGTATGAAAGTGAAAGGGGAAATGTGGGATAGAACTATTGTGTGTACATAAGGAGATATGCTTGAGTTCTAATTGTACTTTCTGGACTACAATTTCCATCATTCTTGACTATTTACCATCCTAGATGATGTTCAGGAAAAACATTTATAAGAAAAAAAAATTTCACCACAGGCACTTGAAGCTTTGATGCATTATTTATCTGCCTAAAGAAAATATGATTACATATTTTATGCCATATTTCAAGGAGTTGGCATTCTGGGCATTTTGCAGATGTAATCATGGACTTATTCCACTTCCCTTGTCTATATTGGATAAGACTCCAGGTTAATTTAGAACACTTTCAGAGAGGGCTTAAACCCACGACTTGTAACTACCAGAAGAGCATGAGGTCATCCCAACCCCCCCCCCCCCCAAGCCCTCAAAATAGAAGAAAACTTACTGGGCTTTCAGGAAGTCTGAATCTAATGGGGTATCAAATTAATTTTCATTTACCGGAGGCATTGTTTGGCCACCTCCAGTAAAAGTCAGACAGTGGGGCCCTTAAGTGTTGTCTCCTCCTCTAACCCCTGAGGCCCCAGCTGAGCTTTCTTGAGGCAATAACCCTTTATTCCAGGTGGACTGATATACTATAATTGCCATTCATGCTATATGGAAGCATAGACATGTTTCCAGATTCCATTAACCTGAAAGGGATCTGAAATGATCACATATCATACTTCTAGAATCAACTTGTGCATCAGCATCTGTCTGCCTATCTGCCTGTCTGCCTGTCTGCCTGTCTGCCTGTCTGCCTGTCTATCTGTCTATCTGTCTATCTGTCTATCTACCTATCTACCTATCTACCTATCTATCTATCTACCTATCTACCTATCTATCTGCTGTTTCTTTCCTAGATTCAAGCAACTATGGGAAAAAAACCAGATCAATTAAAGCAGCCTCCACCCAACAGATGATGTTCCCAAACAACATATTCAGATAAGGTGAATGTGGTTAAGGTTCTCAGCATTTATTGATCTGTACTCAAGAATCTGGGGAAGTTACTAGACTTCAGATATTCACAAAATTGACATGTGCTCAAGAAGCTAGAAAATAATGTCTATATTAAGATATTCATATTAATCTAGGATTGTGAGTATTCAGATTGAACTTCCAAAGGCATCAGAGTTCACGTATTATAAAACACAACTGTGTGGAAAGCAATAGATAACTAAAATATTCATTATGGTTGTGAGGATGCTTGCATCTATGACAAGCATCCTCACAACCTCTGAGGATGCTTGCCATAGATGCAGGTGAAACATCAGGAGAGAATGCTTCTAGAACATGGCCATATAGCCTGAAAAACCTACAATAACTCAGTTTTTATACTTTGTCATCAAGAAAAATGGATAATGAAGATTTATCATTGGAACAAGACAACTCTAACCATTTGTAAAATAAATTAAACATTGAATGATCATACCTTTTACTGTCAAGTACACCTGCATTGTTCTGGGTGTGTGTTGGGTCTGCACTGAACACGTATATGGACCATCATCTGACACATCCACATCTTGTATCTGGAGGCTGTATTCCCTTTTATTTGCTGTTGCAATTGAAACTCGAGGATCTACTGACCACTTGTCTCCTCCTGCAAAAATAATACTTGATCGGTTCAGCCAGGCCCCTTTTGAAGCACCATCTTCCAAGTAACACCTGTGGATTTCAAAGGAAAGAAACAGTTAGGTTTCCTTTAATGTATATACATTTCTTTATACTTTGAAACAGGAGCCATGTATTATTAAGTAGGAAGATTAAGATAACAATTTCAAGCCATCTATGTTGCATTCAGCTCCGCAGTTTTTAAAGTATTTTCTACTGCTATTTGCACAAGAATAATAGTGAACTGAAAATGTAATCCAACAATCTGCTACTGTTTAGCTCTTTAATTCTGCATTTTCCACAAGGGAAAACACTATCTTCTAAGACCAAAGCCATCTAGAAGAGAAGAAAGTAGCAGGAAAACTATAGATGGGAATGTTAAGTACCAAACACAGAGTTGCTGTGAACATTTGCCAGAATCAAAGCTGAAAAGAAATATGGGGATTCTATCTCCGGAGAAACAAATGAAGAACTTTAGGAGAGATCAGAAACATTTCAAGAAGACATTTCTTGGTTTCTTCGTGTTTTACCCTAGCCTTTTCTATATCCTCAGTGGTTCTTTCATGAATGCAGAATGGTTCTCTGGGAAATGCTGAAGATATGGACACAATTTACTTTTTCTGAAAAGCAACTAAATTGGCTCATGGACAATCACACATGTAATGATCATTACATGTTTGTGAGCAATGTCTATTTCTTTATCTTTCAGGTGTAGAAGACACAGGTCACACTTGCATCCTCCTGAACCCAGCAGCAGTGCCAGACTTGCATCCTCCTGAACCCTGCAGCAGTGCCAGGACAATACTGCATCAGCCCTGCTGGACTGTCATCTTATTATCTGTGTCAAAATTGCTGCTCCCAGACAGCCAGAGCTCCATCATGGGCAACCTATGCTGACATCAGCATAGGTACTCACACAACCAATTTCCCCATCTTCTTTCTGTCCATACAAGCACATCTGTGAATGTCCACATAGATGGGCCATGATGACTAGAAGCTCATATGCAGAGCTTGTTTCCAAAACATACAAAATCCTTATGAACAAATTTTAAAGGAATAAAAAAACTGTGCTAAGCATTTGAAAACACAATATTTTCCAAGCCATGTACTGAAGGGATTTGATATGTTTTGATAGTTTTGATCTGCATATAATATTCTACTTCTACTGCTTCATAACACTGGGGTATTTTGCCTCTTTAAAGCAATTTGGGTATGGGGCCTGCTGAGTGCCATCACATGATGATCGGCAAGCCCTGTCCATTTACCCTCCAAGTGCCGAAGAAGCGCTGCAAGACACTACCTTGGTAACTACAGAAAGGTAAGTGCATTTTGGGTAGCTCCAATGAAGCTACCAGCATTTTTGTGCCCTTTGCCCCACGTGATGGTGGAAAGGGCAATGTGGCTTTTCTCCCATCTGATATGGACAGGGTGTCAATGTACCTTGTGTTGCTGTCCCTGACTCGTGAGGGAAGGAGGGAGAGCATGTGGGCCACCACAAGGCACCATGAAGCACCTACACACCTGCAGTTTCACCAGCAACTGCCAACAAACAGCACTACCCTGGAGGATGTGGGAAGAGGTCCCTAGTCAACATGGTGCTGCTACCTATAATTCATTTTTCATTTTTGGGGGATTTGGGACCTTTTAGAAACAAACTTCACACATGGAACTATGAGGCTATTTGGGAGCAGCGATGGCAACAACATGGGCACAATCTGTTCATTTTTTCCTGCAGTGATGAGTCTAGGGGAAAAGGTATGGCAGAGTGTCCTGTGTGGACAGCTGACCAATCCAAAATGGATTTGTACCAGCTGTTGCCATGGCCCCAAAGATGTGGTTTTTAGGCACATTTTTGAACATCCACTAACTTTTCCTAACAAAGAGCTAAACCAAATTAATCTGGTTAATCCTGTGATACCTACTGGAAGTGCAGAAACACTATTGAGATTGAACTCAAGGTGAGTACAGGTTATATTGTTTGTGTAGATTAGCCCATAGCTACTCCTCTGAAAATAAATAATAAATTATGGCCCATGATGAGGAATACATGTTTATTAGCTGACCTAGCATAAAGGGTCCTTATCTATTTTACTGAGAAAATAGAAAAAGCCAATATAGCAGTAATCAGTATCAGGATTATGATTTAGTAATTTGTATGAAACATATTGTTGTACATTTTATTAAAAACTAATTGTGACAAATAGGAGTTTTACAATATCAGATCATGAAATTGGAACTCTGTTCAAATGAACAGAGCCCACTAAATGTTAGCAATGAATGATACTCCAGTCAATGTGACAGACTGCTGCCTCTCTAAACTTCATTTTGAAAATGTTCTGCTACAAATTGAAGAGTGGTTCTTTTAAATGAGCACAAAGTACAGCCAGAGAATGAAATACACATCCATCGAAAAGGGTTTGACAGAATCTCTACACAATCCCTCAGGGGCTTGAACACGGTGCGGAAGATTGCTACAAAATCCCAAGCTGAATTCAGCAGGGTAAGTTACTGCCAACAGTATGAAACTAATCAGTTCAAAAATAAGGAACAAGGTATATTGCAGAATCTAATTTGCAGCCAGCTTCATCCTCCTGCCAAACTAAAACCAAAAGGATTCTATAAAGATTTGCATTAAGAAAAAAATGGTTTCCATATTTACTTCAAGAAAAATGTACAGAACCTGATCTCAAAACTGAAGCATTAATATACAAAAATATGTAGAAAAAATATCAGAAATTAATATTATTATTATATAATTAGTGGACAATTCAAAGTCAATTAGAATTAAATTTATGGTGTTGATTCATGACCAGCAAATGCAAAAAATTCTGGCAATTTAAATAAATTAGCAGAAAGTGTAATTGCATTTATATTACATAAATCAATTTGTTAGATTAAATATCAGAATACACACACACACACACACACACACACACACACATATATATATATATATATGATCCTGCTAGCTAAATACCATTGGTACTTAGGTTTTCCTTAAAAGGGGAAATACTCATTAGGTTTTGCTACACTAAAATATGGTTTGGAAAAACAGTATCCTGGATTGATCTTTAAAATAACACAAGCATCAAAACTCTTTTTAAACTGATAGGGCAAGTAGAATATTGCTAAAGGTAATATTTGAAATACATGGCCCTTTGCCCTCCTGAAATTATGCAAGGCTAAATTATGTTGATCATATCATAAAAGAATAAGGATGATGCTACACAATAACATACCACAACTGATCTAAAGAACCTTTTAAGTTGAATGAGTTAAGTATTCTCCATGAAATATAAGGTATATTATGCTTCTGCTTTTGCTAGTACTTTACTATCCAAATGCTTTTGAGCTATTCTCTATTCATTTATATAAGGAAAAATGTACCTCATTTCCCCCCTCCCCCCTTTGGAAGAGCTTTGTTATGAGCAGTGGTATAAGAAGCATTACCGACATTTTGGACATTGTGCTGAATCCTGCATACTGTTATTTGTCCCCAAAGTACTGCCACAGAAGATAGGCAAGCCTATCATGATTTCTTCTCAGCAAGATTTGCTCAGAAAAGGTTTGCCTTTGCCTTCCTCTGAATTACAGACACAATAATCTGAATGGAGAAAGCATCTTCAGCTCTCTTTTTTGCCATATGAATTCTTCTTACAGTTCTTACAATTGCATATTTAGAGAAAAGATTCTTCTCTAAAGAAGCATGTTGCAACTTTGACTCATGATCATTATGTGGAGGCTCATTACAAATACAGTTGTTAACAGGGCAGTTGAGAAAGCCTTGAATCTCAAATGGATCAACGCACATGCTCAAGGAGATGTTTAATAAATCTCTAAGAATGAAGGATATTTTACTGGTTTCCTCCTAGCAGGATATCAAGCAAAGCTTCTGAGTAATTATGACTTATGCACACCAAATTGCTTTTACTCAATAGCACTCTGTGCCTGAGTGTGACCTGTCATTGAAGGAAGTTACTAAGGTCCTCTTGATTCATAGAGATGCATTAAGCACCTCCCTAAGCACCTCATCCATCTGATTTAGTGATTTCTCAAGCAGTCCAATAATAGTGGATGGCCTAGCAGAATTGTAAACCAACAAAAGTGAGACAAAGGAGGTAAAATATCTATAAAAAGAAGCACAAAGCAATAAAGAATTGCATGAATGTGTAAAAATCCTGCTAGAGAAAAATATTAGGAAAATATACAGAAGGGATTAAATGAAAGATGCAAAATTGTTTATGCTGTTCAATTATATTGAGAGCACATGCTTTCCATGTAACTGGTAGCAGGTCTACTTCTGAGATTTCCACACAGGCTTTGTGGAAACCAGGGTAGACCTCTGATTGAGTTGCTTACAGTTATCTCAGGATACTTCTACATTGGCCAAAATACAGAATGAACTGCCATTAAAAATGCCAGTTCATTCTACAGTTTGATGCCACATATGAGTCAAAGACCAGCTTCATTGGCATTAGGGGCTGGGTGGTCATATAGCCCAGCCTTGATAGGTGCCACCCTACCCTCTCTGCCCGTTTGGATGCCCCAGGCTAATGCAAAATCTATGCTGCATTTTTGGCAGTGTAGATGGGCCCTGCAGCATTCCTTAGCTAGATGGACAATATGTCTGAATAGGTCCAGGGGTGCCTCCTATTGCCAAGCTGTTTGTTTGTCTTTTTAAAATAAGGACCAATGAAAGTTCACTGATGGATGCTCAGCTGAAATGAACTTTCAGGCAAAATGCATTCTTCAAAGGGAAGAATGTAAAATAAAATACATCAGTAAGTGCATAGGTTAAAATATAAAGACATTTCATGAAACTTTACAGAAGATTGTTTTTGTGATTCAGAGGTGTAGGGATATAAATCCTTGACTACTTCATACTTGCTTGCAAGGGATAGTAATTACTATAAATTTGTCTACACACAAATGTTTTCTTAGCCCTCTTTCTGTTTTTAAATGTCTTGACCTGTTGCAGAGGGACAACTGTGATGAGAAAAAATGTTTGGGGTTCTTTCTTTCCTTCTTACACAGAAAATAAGAAACAGTGTTTT